AACAGTTAGCCTCAGTCTATTATATTTTCTCAATAATTTCTTTACCTCTGTCATTTTTTAACTCCTATAGTAATCCTTACACTATACCTGTGACTAAAAATTGACAGTCTTAAAGCTGTACCTCCAAGTAATTCTCCTTCCTATAATCTCAGGTCACTTATGTTTGTCAGTCACCACTGGTACCATTTTCCCATGGGTCCATAGGCAGGTCTAGAATTTTAAAAAGGAGGATGCAGCAGATCCTACTGATGCTGTAACTTGACCGTGGGGAGGGTAAGGGCAAGGTGTGGCTGGAGCCCCCAAGCCAGTGTGGACCACCCTGGGGGTAGGGTGGGAAACAGATACAGTAAGGGGGGACCCACCTACTGCCACCACCCTGGCAGGGGCTGGCATGCTATGCAACTGTTCTCCACATCCTCTGGCTGGAGCAGGGTGAGAGGAGCCCTGTGGCCTGCTCTGTTCCTGAGTTAGATGGAGTTAATGCTTGCCTCTGCCTACTTCCAGAAGCTCCATCTGTAGGGGGCTGCTGTGTGGGGTGCTGGGCTTCTCCCTGCTTGTTTCCCTTCCAGCTTTCCCCTGCCAGTCTGAGGGCTTCAGCTTCAGGGAGCAGCTGCATGGGGTGCCAGACTCTGCTAGGGACAGCAGTGGCAGTAAGCTGGTCCCTGTTCCTGTTCCACCCCCTGGGGGCTCCAGCTGAGGAGATTGCTGTAGAGGGTGCTGGGCTCCACTAGGGACTGTAGTGGCAGCACTGTGCAACACAGCAGAAGGGGGTTTTGACCGCTCCACAGCACCCCCTGATCTGTCCCTGCCTGCATCTGTCACTTGCCACCTGAACAGTGTGCCTGTGTAGAAGGCATCCTGTAATGTTTATTTTAGCAGCTAGATATTAGATTCTTGATTAAGTAAGATATAGTTCCTAGTTCATATTTAAACTAATATTCCAATCTTTCTTCCAAACATTTAGTATTTTCATTGCAACTTCCAAACAGGCATTATTTCATCTTCTACCCATTGCAGTGATTTCACTGCTGTGCCTTCCTATTCTGTAGCAATAGAAACAAAAATGTCAACAACATTTGCCAGTCATTATAAATTATTTTTAAAAAGTCTGTTTAAGAGAGCTGGTACTTAACCCTGACTTGTTCATATGTCATCAAGGTTCTTGGAGGTATTTTCTATTGAAAGAATAATCTAATTGATAATTACATTAACTTCAATGGAAATGAGCAATGAATAAAGACATAAAAAATGCATAAAACATTAAAAGAATCATAAAACTTTAGCAGCAAATCCAGGTCAGAGAGAAAGCAAAATTAGAATTTATTATTGCTGAATGCAGGATTTACCCTTGTTATATGCTCTTTAGTGCTGCACCCTTTTTTGACTTTATTTATGACGTTAGTCACGGAAGACTTTCACTTTGAGGATTTAGGGAAGAGATAGCAGGCATGAATGATAGAATGCTATATTTACTTAAATTTAAGACAAGCCTGAATATAAAACAAGCCCCCGATAATTAGATTCTATATATGAAATATTATAACAAACGTATAAACTTTCCTGGTGTAGAATCTGCTTATCAGAGGGTTGTCTTGAATTCATCTCCTCCTGCTGCTACAGCAGGGAAAATAGTGGCTGGGGAGCTCAGGGTGGTCCCTTTATTTTCACCCCTCCCTCCCATTTTCCCCTTGCAGCCTTCTTGTTCCCCCTCCCCTTACTGTCAGATTGCTTAGGTTCTGTTCTCTTCCCCAAGCACAATGTGGAAGTAAGTGAGATGTCTGTGACAGTAAGTGGGGTAAAAGGGACAGAGGGGAGAGAAGAAGCTGTAGAGCATAAGCAGATGGGGACAAGAGACTGCTGTGGGTCTGACTCTGGCCCTGACCCAGATGCAGGATTTGCAGAAGTTGCCTGCCCCCTCTTTCCATCTTGTTTATTTGAAAGGCTAGGGACCAAAAAAACACTGACTTTGCAATAAAAATGGCTATAGTAACGTGCAAAAGCAATCAGGCCTCGTGATAGAGGTGTGATATCTTTTATTAGACCAACTAGATTTTTTGCAAAAAAAATTCTTTAATTACAAGCTTTCTGGCACAAACACCCTTCATCAGGCATAGGCAGTTCTAGAATTTTAAAAAGGAAAGATTGTAAGAGTTCTCTTGGGTAGAAATGAAAGTTCTTATTTCATAGAAGAGTGAAGGTGTGGTAAAATCTCCTGTTTGGAATAGTTCATGTTATATGCAGATTAGGCTCAGAGAAAAGTTGGAATAGTCTGTTTACCTTGAAGTTGTTTGGTAGTAAGGAGGATGTAGTCATATTTCCTTCTGGTTATGGTGTTTCGTATTTCACAGAGGAGTAAATAGATGGAATGCTTTTCTAGGCAGGCATTTCTTATCTGGTAAGGTGTCTCTGAGGCTCTGTGATGATGCAAATTACCTCAAACAAAGGCAGGAGCAGGATCTCTGGTTCAGGTGATCTAACTTGCTTCCTCCTTGTAAAATTATAAATATTTCATTTAAAAAATCAGCTAAAATGGGTAAGTTAATCCAGAACAGATATATTTTAACTTGCTGCAAACTGCTGCAAGTTTCAGCACATAATTTTGAGCAGTACTTTTGTACCTTTTACACAGGGCCGTCCCTAGAGAGGGGGCAAATTGGGGCGACTGCCCCAGGTCCTGCGGAGCCGGGCTGGCTTTGCATCTGTCCACTCCCCTCGCACCCCTCCTCCACTGCCACTGCATCCAGGTCCCACACAGGCTGATTTTCCCCGCCCCTGCACCCTGCTACAGTCATTTCTGCTTGTACATAATATTAACTATGCATGATTTTAGTCCAGTGCCAAAAGGCTCATGATTTACCTTATAGACACCATGTGTCTGTACTCCAGATACACCCCCCAGAAAGGATCCATATGCTCATTAGCACTCCCCACCAGATGTTCTGGAACCCACCCTGCCCCAGACCACTCCTTCCCTCACTGCAGGGGCCTCAGTCTGCTCCCTCACACCCCTTCCTTTCCCTTCCCTTCCCTTCCCTTCCCTTCCCTTCCCCCACAACGGGCTTACCGGCTAGATGCTGCTTTCCACACTGCCAGGCTTCAGTCCTGGCTGCCCGCATACTGCGCTGCAGCTGTGCGCATGCACGCAGCCTTTATCGACAACATTATTGGCCAGATCAGCCAAAAAAAGCCGATTGCCAATAGTGTCAATTTTCCTTTTATCGGTGCTGATACAATATGGGACTGATGTGTTGGTGCACCTCTAGTTTCTTTTGTGGGAAGTCAAGGCATGTTGTTTGAGGGTTGCATTTATATGTAGTTGTATGTTTTTGGATGTATAGTTGTCTTTGCGATATAAAATTTTGGTAAAACTAGGTTGCTCAATAGGTGAAGCTTTGTAAATGTAGGGTGATAGGTGTGTTTTTAATAAAACTTGGAGAAAATAAAAAGGTTCAGCATGTCAAATGTAGCATTTTTGGCACCAAGGGAAGGGTGTCAGGGTTGGTTCTAGCCCTTCCAGTGCTGGCTGTTGTAGTACCTCCAGGCCTTGTGGCAGTTCTCTGTGGAGGGAACTCCTGCCCTATTAATTAAGTAATTAAGTAATTAATTAATTTGTCCCTTAAAAAAAGTTTCCCATCAGGATTTTTGGCACCAGGAGACAGCGTCAGAGCTTGCTGCAGCCTCTCCAAGTGCCGGCCTGGTATTGTAGTACCTCCAGGTCTGGTGTTCATTTCCTCCTTGGAGATTAGCTGGCTGTTTTTTAAGGGACACAGGCACAGTGTGTTTGCCAGTTGTGGGTTTATGGCCATACTCAGTACTGACTGCACTGAATAAGCTTCATAGCCGGTTTCCTTGAGTGAGCACATGCTGCTTCTAGCAGCAGTTTAACGATAGGCAGTGTATTTTTGGGGGGCGGGGAGGGGGGAAGGTTTGCTGGTATGAGAATATAAGACTGATCAGGGCGAGGGCTCACTTTATATTTGAGTGCATATTTGGAAATATTCTGGTTAAAAATTTAAAAAAATCAAAGCATTTTAAAGGCTACCCCTAGTTAGCAGCAAAGTGCTATAAGCATGAATGATTTGTGTAGCAGTGTGGAACAAAATACTGTTTTTTCACAAACTCTAAAGTGATATTGTTATTTAAGAGAATCCTAGGGAAAACCTTTTTGTGTGCAGGCTTTCCATAGTAGATTTAGGACCAAACTGAAACAGCTGAGGTCCCTTGCTTGACATGCCTACATGCTGGAGCCTGCTATGCTTCTGGTCCTGTCTGATGGTGGAATAGAGGAATCCACTTCTGCTTTCACCAAAACTTACATGAAGCAAGAGTGGCACAATTTGTGGAGGCCAAGTACTTGCAGCAGTTGGGAGATATCTGTTTGGTTAGGTGGGCCTGATTTGTTGTGTTTTTCTTCTTTCAGAGTCGTTCCTCTGCTGCAAAGGTGTTAGCATGACACCCCAGTGGGGTCTCAGAGTTAGCTTTTTATTGCACTGTCTAGCATAACTTACACATTAGAGCTCTTACTTGAGATAGGCACAATTTGTTCATGTTCAGATACAATTTGTTCAACTTTTCTTTGGAAGCACAAGGGCTAGAAATTGCATTTTATGAAAAATGAGATTATGCTTTAGTAAAATAATCCAGGAGCTGGAGCCTGAAGCATGGATTATTATCCCAGTTCCTCAGTCTGATCTTGCTTATATAGATGTTTTATTGATTAGTGAGTGTCATCTTCTCATTAGTTAGTTCATAACTATTTTTAGTTATGCATAAACCTAATTTTATATACCATAAAATGTAGCAGATGGGACTTTTTCATTTCTTCTTATGTAAGACTAAAATGTAATACCTTGACTCGTATTGACTCATACTTATTTACGTGGTAGTTTCATTAGTTTTATTGGGACTGTAGGTTGAGTTGGGGACTTTTCAGCAAACTGTTCATAATGCATTCTGTTTTTCAGTATTTTTGATCAAACCTGTGTGTTTTTTTCCCCCAGATATGGATGTGCCAGAACTTAATTAAACAAAATTCTCAGTTTGTGAAGCAACTGGATGGTCATGATAGACTTACCTGTTTATTTCAAATAAAAAGACTGTTGGGCCTATGTTGCAGGTAAAGCTTTTTCTTTCTCATGCAAATACCTCAGAGTACGTGGACAAAAAAATGTGTGTGTCATTTTATTTGTATAGCAGAGAAGATTTTTAATGTATTTCATTTTTAATTCCAACAAAGTATGTAGGCAAAGCAG